CTTCTGCACCAAACATCAGAATAACCAGATGTTCTAGTTCAGCAGCAAAGGCAATAAGGACCTTATTTCTCCAAAAGTCTTTCTCCTTGTGTCTAGCCTAAGAGCCCAAGCCAGAAATGCATAAGAAATTATGCCAGAGTAACAGCAATACTTGAAATATAACTTTTCTTCTGGGAAGCATGAAGTACCTTATCACCAATTATATTTTCTTTTTCCCCATTCAAATGTTTAGATTATTATAACTACCTATTGACAGCTTTCTCATAGATGTGTACCATGGGCTTCCTGAAGATTGGTTAAGATCAGTGACACTGGCTACTCTTGCCCACAGGATGTGTTATGAGTGTTTGTGGGACACTCCTGGATGTCAAGAGTGTTCTGGCTTCCCTGATCAGCAGATGAAATTCAATTCAATTCAACAAACATTTTTGGCCTCATTTTACCTGCCAGGTTCTCTGCCATGTGAAGATCCAGGATGGGATTGCATAGTCTGGTCATATTGTCACTATTTCCTGTCCTAATCCCAAACTTCCCTTGGCTGGCAACAGTAACCACACAGCTGGCATTCGGATGAGGGAATGATTTGGGGGAGCCTGATATCTCCCAGTCCCACATGTGCTCTTTGCCACAGTTTAAAATAAACATGTTTTTTTACTCTCCTTGTCCCATGGGTTATGCACTATTTTTCAAAATCCATTTAGAATAGCAAAAGCAGGTCACTCGACTTGCCTACATTGGGCTCTGATGTCTGCATCTTGACTCTTAGTTCAGGTATGTGTTGATCTTGAAATGCATCAAGAAGGGGCCCACACCGTCTCTCCCATCTGTAGCTCCCCTGTTCCTTCCCAGCCCCTCCTTTTCAGGAGATAATTTTGCTTCCTTTACTAAGATCCATATGTGTATCCTAAGATCTCTCTCTGCTTTATCTTTACTCAGTGTCACTGCCCCTAATGCTGTTTCTAATTTCCCCCCATAATCTTAGTGAAATGGGTTTCTTTCCTTAGGAAAAGTAACATCTCCGTGCATATCTCAGATGCGATTCCTCTCTTGCTGTCAGAGTCATTCTTTCCCCTCTACTTCAAAATCTCTAAATACCTCAGGGCCCATACACTTCTCTCCTCTTTCTCAATCTCTGAGCACAGTTGGCTGGAGTCCCCTATAAGGGGGAGTGTCCCTCAAGTCTCAATATTTTCTTTCCTTGTCTATTGTGGCATTGTGTCTTTCTGATCTCCCATTTCTCTGATTATTTTTTTTTCTGTTCCCTCTACTGATTATGGTCTGGGCTCCTCACCCCTTCCACCCTATTCTTACTCATTCATCCGTCCATTTATTCATTCATTCAGGATTCATAGAGGATCTAATAATCTGCCTGGTACCAACCTGGGCATAGGAGTACAGCAGCAAACAGAGCAAACAAGGCTGCTTTCATGAAGCTTACATCCTGACAGGAGGAAACAGAAAATAAGCAAATGCATTAAATTTCAAATAAAATAATTCTTGGATAGTAAGAGAAGATATAAAGAACAAGAAGCAGGATAATGACATAGAGAGTAGCTTCAGATGGGGAAAGTGAGCAGGAAACCAGTTTAGAAAGCATAACCAGGAATGCCACACTAAGGAGAAGTCACTTGAGGCAAGACCTTAATGATAAGAAACCAGCCACAGGATAAAGAGCATTCTGGGGGGGCGCCTGGGTGGCTCAGTTGGTTGAGCGACTGCCTTCGGCTCAGGTCATGATCCTGGAGTCCCAGGATCGAGTCCCACATCGGGCTCCCTGCTCAGCGGGGGGTCTGCTTCTCCCTCTGACCCTCTTCCCTCTCGTGCTCTCTGTCTCTCATTCTCTCTCTCAAATAAATAAATAAAATCTTAAAAAAAAGAGCATTCTGGGAAGAGGGGACTTCTGGCACAAAGGCTCTATGTTGAGAAAAAGCTTAATAAGTTTGTGTAATGGAACATTGTGAACAAGATAGGGAATGGTAGACACAAGTGTGAAAATCTAGCCAGACCTTAGGGCAGGTGAGGAGTCTAGATTTTATTAAGTGCAATGAAATGCCATTGAAGGACTTTAAGCAAGAAAGGTACATGATCTTATAAAATACAAAAAGTGCTCTGGCTACTGTTTGTAGACTAAAATGGATGGTTTCATCATCAGCTGTAAAGGGAAGATGGTCATAAGATTGGAAAAGATTAAAAACAGAACAGTAAAAAAGTACTGAAACCAAAATGGCAGAAAGGAGGAAGGCATAACTTAAACAATTAAAATGAATTAAAAATTCTTAGAACAAGGCAGAATGTACTTCAGGGAACTTAAGGTACTTTCAAGAGTGACAGAGAGCCACTGCCAAAAATCAAAGGAAATGTCAGAAAACTGAAAAGACCAAATGCTCCTATTTTCAATAGAAGAGAGAGTGTCACATGCAAACTAGAGGCAAATAAGCTGTTTCTAAAATCTCATGTAAAATCCTCAAAGTGGACAGGTAAACATTTAGAAAAGAACATTGTGATTATTTTCTAATAGCACAAATGGATGTAAGAAAAATTATGTAAAATTAAGCCAGTTCCCACTGTGGTGGTTGTGGGGGTGGTGTTGACAGATTTATCAGACTGAAAATATCTCAGTTGCTCTATGTATTTGGATGGGACTTTCAATAAAATCATAGAATCTCAAAGGTTGTTGGAACTTTATCAGTAATCTATTCCAAATTTCTAACCTGTAGAAGATTTTTTTTTTCTGCAACATCCCAGTAATTCTTTGGAGAACAACTGCTTGAACATAACAAAAGGTAATTCATTTCACTTTGGAATCATTTGAAATATATTGCTGAAAATCTATTTCCATGTGAGTGTAAACCATCGATCCTACCTCTTTTCTCTGGACCATTATCAATGTAATTTTTCTCACATACACCCTTTGTGTTAAGTTTTCAGGATGTGTCATGCTGTAAGTATGGAAAATAGAGAGACACATTTCAGTATTTGTGATTGAGCAACCATATCAAAAAGTCTAATTAGTAGCTCATTGTCAAGCTAGAGTGAGATCTCTAAAAGCATGTCAATGGACTCTTCTTTGTTTTTTTTCCCCCTATCTATTAAAAAAAAACACCTATGTTTGGATCAGGTGATTGTCAAGCCTAGAGATGAAACAAAGCTGAAGAAGAAAGATATGTTGGATGATTGAATGTGGATTCAATAAGAGTACTAACAGGATGTGACAATTAGTTGAAACTGATAAATTTTAACAGCAATAAATGTAGTTCCATAATCATTTTTTCAAAATTCCCCGTATAACTAAAAACGACTCTGCAACAGTTCAAGTGAAAAATACTTAGGACTTTTAATTGACCACAAGCTCATAATGAGTGAGATATGGCAGTAAATGTATTTGAATAGACATACCCTCTAAAGCAAGTGTGGCCGTAATTCCCCTGGATTTATACTGCTCAGACCACACAGGGAACATCATTTCCTGTTCTAAATGTCACTTTGAGAATCATGCTGACAAACTACAAATCCTCCTGAGAAAGTGACAAAAACAGTTTCGGGACCACTTAGTGGAGTGTGGGGAGGGAAGAGGAGTGTACAGAATTCTACTGAATGTAAAGAAGAACTTCTTTAAGCAATAGAAGGGACAGGTACCTGGGTGGCTCAGTCGGTTAAGCATCTGCCTTCAGCTCAGGTCATGATCCCAGGGTCCTGGGATAGAGTCTGGCATAGTCCCTGCTCAGTGGGGAGTCTACCTCTCCCTCTGCCCCTCCCCCCCCACTCATGCTCTCTCTCGCTCTCTCTTTCAAATAAAAAAATAAAATATTTAAAAAAAAAACAGAAGGGACTAACTTGGGAAGTAGTAAGCTCTTACCACTAGAAAGAGTTGAGTCTATTCATCAGGAATGTTCTTGGGGGATTCATGAATTGAACAGGTTGAATTAAGTCAACTTTAACTTCTCTTTCAAGCTTAATACACTGTGCTTCAAAGGGTTGGCCTTCAAAAACAACATAGAGTTTATGACCTGGTGGCTCCCTGCCCAGGAAGAAAGTCCTATCTTGGCGACCTTCTGCTGTTCTGTCATATGTTAGGAAAGAGAATTTCCTGCCTGTGGTTCGTTTACAGTCAGCTGTTACTCTCCCGTTCTTTTTTGGAATATCAATGTCAAGCTTCCCCTTTTGGAAAGGGAGCAGGAGGGAATAAGAAGGGGGAGGGGGAGATTTTTGTATTAATCTTTCATTTCAGTTCCAGGCATTCCTAATCTGTTACGTCAGTTTGAATTTATAACAAATCAGAGTTTGAATTTAAAGTTTCAGGTTTCCCTTCCAGAGATGGGGCGGGGGCGCTGAAACAGCTGCTAGGATTAGGGAGTGGCTAATAGTTGGAGGAAGCCAAACCACAATCTATCTGCTTTTAAACTAAAAAAAAGGAAAAGGAAAAAAGCGATTAGAGCGAGAGGGAGCTGCTCCCACCCACGGCACCACTCTTGCGCTAACCTTTGGATCACCTCACTGGATGAGGAGGTGAACATGGGAACAGGTACACCTCATCCCTACCTCACTTCTCACAAGCAGGGATTTTCTTGCTGTGGTCAATGTGCCCGGAACTAATTAATCAGGCTAGACAGAATAGATTGGGAGAACAGAAGGGGATGGGGTCGGGGGAGAGAAGCCCGGAGCTTCTCATGTACAGTGTACATTACAGATGACATCATTGCCTGAAAGAGATTCGGCCCTCCCCTTCCCGGAGCTGGAGGCAAGCATGCCTGTGCGGGAGCAGGAGTGGGGTTGCCTGGAGGGTGTGAATTGGTGCGAGGAGGTGTTCCCGGGCTGGGGAGAGCTCCGGGGATGTGAAAGGGAGACCTGGAGACAGCCAGCTAGCAGAGAAATCGCGAGGTCTGGAGGTGTTTGCGCCGCTCCAAGCTCCGCCCCTCGCTCGGCCGCCGTGTTCTGCCCTGGGAGGGGCACGCCTGTTTGGAGGTGGGGAGTGTGTGCACGAGGGGTGGGTCCGTGGTAGCGGTGGGGGTGGACAGCCGCCTGCGCATGTCAAGGCTGACTAAACATACGCGGTCAAGGGGGACCTGCAGAAGGGCAGTTGGTCACCCGCCACCCAGGGTCGGGGCCCCGGCATTATCTCGGGGCGAGCTCCGGGGAAGGGGCCCACCCTCCCTGTCCCCTCCCCCAGAGATCGGCAGCGCGACAGGAGCTTCCGCCTCCTTCCCCGCCCCTCCGAACCTTCCCGGGGATCAGAGGGCGGGTGTGGACAGTACCGAGGTGGAACGAATTTTGGAGCTCAGACGGGTGGCCCGGGTGGCTTCGGGTGTGGGGGGCACGCCCAGCTTGGAGAAGCCGGTGCAGGCGGATGAAGCCGAAGCTCCTGGGTCTTGGTGGATCCTGGTCTGAGCATAGCTATTCCCAGGGGAGGTGAGAGGTGGATCAACATGGACCCCTTCGATAGCCCAGCCGCCTAGAGCCAGCCGTGCTGCTCTCTTCGGAGCTGAGCTGTCACCGAGGCGCAAACAGGAGAAGCAGCTGAGCGACTGGAATTTGTGAAGTTCCGGGGTGGGCGGGGAAGGTACTGTCCGTGGTGCTGAGCCGGATCCCAGCAACGGGCTCCGGGGAGAGCGCGCGAAGCTGCGGATCGGCTCCCTCGAATTGGGGCGGTGCGCCAGTGTAGCTTGGAGCTGAAACCCCCGCCCGGCTCGAAAAGCCCGGAAAGCCTCCCCAGTCGCTGGCGCTTGACCCTTATTTCAGTCAGAAAGTCGCCCCCTTGGGGCAGTTCGTCCCAAAGGGTTTCCTCGAAAGTATCTGAGAGGGCGAGTTGTTGACCGAGGGAATCTCTCTGTTTAGCCCCGGAAGCCACCCGCCGGAAAAAAGATGCCTGCCTTCAACAGATTGTTTCCCCTGGCTTCCCTCGTGCTCATCTTCTGGGGTAAGTACCAGCACCCTGCCGTGCGAGATGCAGATAACAGTAATAATGCCAACATAATAACACTTAATTCATGTTTGTGACAGGAAGGAGCCCTGGTTGGCTTCCCTCTATGCTTGTCTGCCAGACATGGAGATCCATAGGGGTTCCATGAGAGCTGGGATTTTGAGATTGGAAAAACACCTCCTCACTCCTGCTGCTTTATTCCTGAGCTACCCTTGGTGGTTTTTCCACCCCTCTTCCTGTTTCCTGTTAATTCCAAAGTATTTTTTTCCCTTTTCCTTTGCTGAAAGGGAATGCAGCCACATTCGTTATGAAAAATCTCGGTTGCATTTACATTTCATTTTTCAATGAGGAATCAGTCGGTCTTCAGATTAATTCCCATGTCTTTTTTCAAAAGCTGGATGCACGCATTTTGAAACAGCACTTTAGCTGTTGGTCCATTTGTTTAAGTCTAATAAGGAAAATAGCCTTCAGCCATTTGCAGCTATGTCTTTGATAAATAGGCACCTGGGCATTGCATCTTTATTCTTTTTCATGAACATATGAAGCTAATGTGCTTTGGTGTTTGGGGAGCAATGTTTTTTTGCTTTCAAAAATGAATAGGTTCTTGTTTGCTGTGAGGAAATAAGGTGACCTTCTCCCTCTAAGTAAGGAAGACCTTCACTTGCAACACTAAGGCTAAGCAGAGAAGTGTCGGAGTGGGGTGCCTGCTTGTGTGTAGAGAGAGTTAATGAGTCTACGTGATAATGTCTGAATATGTGATTGAGAGAATGGTTTACTCTGTGGATGTATATGTCTCAGTGTTTGAATGTGTGTGTTAGCGTATGTCTGAGCATGTTAGAATGGGCATTTGAATGGATTGGTGAAGATGTGTGTGTGTGTGTGTGTGTGTGTGTGTGTGTGTGTGTGTGTGGTGGTTCTGTAGTTCTGGGCATCTCTGCTTGGTGATTCTGATTAGATCCTTACGTCAAATATAGGTGCTCTTCAGTTGATATATTGTTTCACATGATCTTCTACATTCCCACTTTTTCCATGCTTTTACCTTCCTTTATGCCAAAAATCAATAACCAGGATAATTAGAAGTGATTGTGCCCACCTGCTTTATTGAAAGTAGGCATGTGGGATTATTCTCATTTCTGCCTGTGCAATGGCAAATATGCTGATGGGAATTGCCTCTTTGCCTTAGTATCACTTTATTAAGCCTCCAGGACTTACTGGCTGCCAGCATTATCTGGATTTTGCATGTGACCAAAAGCAAAGCCAAGCTTCCTGTTGAACAAAATGCCTGATGAGACAGTCCGGGAAGGACAAGGAGGAAGAATAATGCCAGTCCCAAAGGCAGACCCACTGCCATCCATCCCCAGTAGAGTAGACTAGACCTGAAGATGAAGCAGACATAATAGGTTGCCAATGATCTCACTTGCCTTGAAGACTTAAGGCTGGGATTTCCTCCGGGGAGGCTAAGGCTAGGGACATGAGGCTTAGGAGAGGTTGGTCTGGCTGTATAAGAAAGAGTGTGAGTAAAGCAATGGGAGATGAAGTTGCAGAGAGCCTTCGAAAGGGCTCTACAGAGCCTTTCTTCCCAAACCTTAATTTAAATTTTTAGCATCCCTGACTGAATTCTAGTGGAGGAGGTGAGCATGCCTTATTCCAAGCACCTCTTAGGACTTACAAAGTCTGGCTTGGAGTCTTAGCTCTGCCATTAGCTTGCTATGTAACAACCTTAGAGTATCTGCTTCCTCATATGTGAAGTTTGGAAGTTGGGGCAGATAATGTTTAAGACTGAATAGTAAGGAAGTATTTACAGAATATTGCTAAATTTGGCAGTGTCCACCCCTCTCCTCACTCCCACTCCCCACCCCACCCCAAAATAAAACCTTTGGAAGAAGTGTGTACATCGCACCCATCCTTGCTAATTCTCAGCTTCTTTATAACCAGAACATTGGTTCACGAAACTTAAAAGCTGCAGAAGGAAAGAGGGATGGTTCGGGAACTTGGCCATCAGATGTAAAAGAAAGGGCCTCATTTCACAAATGCAATTTCATTTTATTTGAATGTAATTCTAGTATTGGAAACCACTTCGACTAGATACATTCTCCCTTCCCAAGCTGATTTTTCACATGATGCAAATATGAATGGAAAGAATCTTTTCTGTTATATTATTATCTGCATCTATTGAAAAACCTTCCCTTATTTCCTTTAATAGCGTATATACTAATAATTAAAAAAAACTCTACACTTCCTTGGTGCTTTATAGTTTACAAAGCATTTTTCAATCCAGTACTTCTTTTTGGTCACTGTATCAATCCTTGGGGGTAGTCAGGGAAAAATAGTATTATTTCTAATTTAGAGGTGAGAGAATGAGCTCAGGGAGAGGGAAGGACTTGCTAGAGAACTCTTGTCTTCTGATTTCAGTCTTCTAGTACTTGTTCTAGCACTTCTTATGGACACATGTGCTACTATGCAGGATTGCCAGATAGGTATCTGTCCTCTCATCCCTTTTCTGAGCCACCACCCATCCTCTCCTCCTCCAAGCCATTGCCTTTCCTAAGGGCCTCCTTAGCCTCTAGTCCCAGGTCTACTCTCCCAGATGTCTGCCGTGTTGGGGAATGTTTTCCTCTCTTCTCCCAGCAGCCCATCTTGCTGCATCCCATTCTTTCAAGGCTCTGCTAAGTGACTGGCTAATCTGATAGGCAAATCATTTCAGGGTGTTAATATCTACAGATAACTTCTTTTATTACCCTCTTTTGGAAAGTATTTACATTCTATTTTTTTTAAGATTTTATTTATTTATTCGACGGATAGAGAGAGAGAGAGCACAAGTAGGCAGAGTGGCAGGCAGAGGGAGAGGGAGAAGCAGGCTCTCCGCTGAGCAGGGAGCCGGACATGGGGTTCAATCCCAGGACCCCAGGATCATGACCTGAGCCGAAGGCAGCCGACTGAGCCACCCAGGTGCCCCAAGTATTTACATTCTAATCAAAGCCTTTATTGGGGTGCTTGGGTGTCTCAGTCATTAAACATCTGCCTTCGGCTCAGGTCATGGTCCCAGGGTCCTGGGATCAAGGCCCGCATTGGGCTCCCTGGTCTGCGGGAAGCCTGCTTCTCCCTCTCCCACTCCTCCTGCTTGTGTTCCTTCTCTCGCTATGTCTCTATCTGTCAAGTAAATAAATAAAATCTTAAAAACAAAACAAAAACAAAAATAAAACAGTGTGGCAACTGTTAAAAAAAAAAAGCCTTTATTATCTTAGCACAAAGGAAAGCATTCTAAAGCAAACTCAGGAGGGGCAATATAGTAATGCCCAAAGAAGAAAAGATTAGAGGAGTTGGTTCAAAACACATTGCTCTCCACCTCATAATAGATTGATACTATTCCTTAGTTAAATATAATCATTAGTAATAATATCATATTCTACCTTCTCAGAAGATTCTTATTTTTTTTTAATTTTTTTTAAAAAAATTTATTTATTTATTTGAGAGAGAGAATGAGAGACAGAGAGCACGAGAGGGAAGAGGGTCAGAGGGAGAAGCAAACCCCCCGCTGAGCAGGGAGCCCGATGTGGGACTTGATCCCGGGACTCCAGGATCATGACCTGAGCTGCAGGCAGTCGCTTAACCAACTGAGCCACCCAGGCACCCCTTCATTATTTTTTTTAAATTTAATTTATTTATTTGAGAGAGAGAGAGAGAGAGCACAAGCAGGGGGAGCAGCAGAGGGAGAGGGAGAAGCAGTCTCCCCGCTGAGCAGAGAGCCCGACACAGGGCTCGATCCCAGGACCCTGAGATCATGACTTGAGCAGAAGGCAGACACTTAACGGACTGGGCCACCCAGGTGCCCCAAGTTTCCTCATTATTACTATGGAAATTGAAGAAGAGACCAAAAGTGAAGTGATTTTGGCCAAGATTATTCTAGCAGTTTATTATTTACAGTCAGCAATGTGGATTGAATACCTACCATATGTACAACCTTTCTTGGATATCTAGAGGATTTCATAGACAGAGAGGCAGTCTCCATGGGGCAGAGAAACAGATGTCACCTCTTGATGGAAGGAGCAGCAAGTCATATTGCAAAGGGCAAGCAAAGAGAGATGAGAGAATTTTGCGGCCATTTTGCAATGTACTATCCAGGACCTCATGAGCAGAATTCTATGAGAAAGGAATCAGTAACATTCGTTCTCTGATGATATCTTGGATTATTGTCATCTCAGGAGCAACTCAGAAAAAAGAGGGACTGCCATGCTATCCATCGTGATCCTCCTGACTGCATATATTCTGTCCTCCCTCCTTTAACTATAAATGAACTAACTGTGCTCCTATTTAAGACCAATTCATCTACTTGTTCATTAAAGCACATCACCTGTCACCTATTCGAGGATGTTGGTCCAGCAAATTATTCCTTTTCAAACCCCAACACCTCTACTACCACCTTCATCCAAGCAAAACCATTGAGCCATCTCTCGGTCTGATCAGTGTACCAGCCTCTTAACTATTCTCTTTGCTTCCACACTTGTCCTTCCTCACTTCCTCAGTTTATTCTCAACAGAGCAGTCAGGTCATGTAATTTTGTATAAATCATATCATTCTTCCACTTGGAATACTCCAGTGTTCTCCAAGTCACTCTGAGCAAAAGTCCAAGTTCTAATTGTGGTCTACAAGACCAGCCGTGATCTGGCCCTGGCTTATGTGTCCTTCTTTCTCACTTTGTTCCCTGTGCTTTATTGTGCTCTTTGCTTTGACAGACACTCCCACCCTAGGACCCCCACAACGCTATGTCCTCTATTTGGCACACTTCCACACAGATATTCATATATCTCCTTTCTTCCCCTCATTTCTTTCCTTCAGTGCCTGCTCATTGTCACGCTCTCAATGAGGCTGTTGCCAGTGTGCCTATGTTCCTCTACTCTGTTTTACTTTTTCTAATAGCACTTATTATAATGTAATGTCCCTTATTTTTCTCACCCTCCCCTGGAATGTAGACTCCATGACAGCAGGGATGGTTTCTGTTTTGTTCCCTGTTGTGTTGTCTAGAACAGTGCCTGGCACACAGTATATTTGTTGAATAGGTGAACAAACAGATGAAGGGTAAAATACCTTAACAAGCGGTATGTGTACAAAGCACATTCATATAAATCATTCCATAGACTTTCCATGATGATTCCATTAGACAGATATTATTTTCAACATTCTGTTGATGAATAAACTGAGTCTCAGGGGTTAAAGAGTAGATAAACCCAGGCCTTCGGTTGCCAAATACATCTTCATCCTGCCTCTGTATTTGTTTTTTTTTTTCATCCTGCCTCTGTATTTGTAACTGTGCGTTCCTTGGTACATTTTCCTCTGCTGCTTTGAAGTCATCATCATTGAACTAACTTACCTTTACCATGTCTCATTAAATATGAATGTGCCCCAAGGCTGCCTGCTACACAGAGTTCTCAATGCACATTCTCTGCACCTCTCTTCATTCCCAAACTTTTGCACAGACCACACTTTCTTCTCTCTTTTTTTTTTCAACCAGGTCAACAATCAAGACTTCAAACACAGCACATTCTTTTTTTTTTTAAGATTTTATTTATTTATTTGAGAGAGGGAGACAGAGACAGAGATAGTGAGAGAGAACACGAGTGGGGAGGAGAGAGAGAAGCAGGCTCCCCGCTCAGCAGGGAGCCTGATGCGGGGCTTGATCCCAGGTCTCTGGGATCATGACCTGAGCCAAACGCAGACGCTTAACTGACTGAGCCACCCAGGTGCCCCAAAACACATCACATTCTGAAAGTGTTTCTGATCAGTTCTCTCCAGATATGGACCCTCTCCCCAAAAAGTGATGGTCCATATGCAGAAGCAGGAGACTCTATTGCAGACTGCCCGATAAGACCAGTCCCAGCTTGCTTGGGAGTTTTAAAACCAATTAATTTTATTTTATGTTGATGTTTTAAATTTCATCATAGTGCCACTCTGTTTGTCTGTTTGTTTGTTTTTATTTTTTATTTATTTATTTATTTATTTTTTTAAAGATTTTATTTATTCATTTGAGACACAGAGATACAGATACAGAGAGAGAGCATGAGCAGGGAGAGAGGCAGAGGGAGAGGGAGAAGCAGGCTCCTCGCTGAGCCAGGAGCCCGATGTGGGGCTCGATCCCAGGACCCTGGGATCATGACCTGAGCTGAAGGCAGATGCTTAACCGACTGAGCCACTCAGGCGCCCCTGTCTGTTTGTTTGTTTTTAAAGAAAGGCAGACTGCTATATGCAGTGCCTTATTTGGATATGTCTGGAGTCTTGGAAGCTTGACTACCCTATGTTCCTTTACAAATGGACCTTGAGAGCTTGTTTGGAGGTTTTAGCAGGTGAGCGCAGCTACTCATATACCCTTGAGCAAAGAACAGTCCTCCTCTACAAGGTTGTCCTCTGACTGAGTGCACAGTTTTGGGAGGGATGCACACGGGGTGGTGAGGAAAGAAGGGGACACCTGCTTAGCCAGACAGATCAGCCAAATTAATCCTGGCAATCAATGGGGTGACAGATCCTAGTGCCATTTGTTTTTTAAACTCTATGTTTAATAACGACATTTTTTGCCTTTGAAGCCAGTCAAATGTAATTTATTTTTGACTCAATTAGTTGGTCAATCTCATTTTAAGCTCTAAATAAAGCTTTTCTCTGCTGTTAGAGTGAACTGCCTGCCAATACAGAAACAGACTAACCATTTATAGTGTACTAGCTTTTAAATATCAATGTATCAATGTGTATTGTTTCACTTTTAGGGGTTCTGTTTTTATTATTAATTCATGAGAAGGTAGCATCAGAAGGGGCCTTAGAAGTCCTGATATAAGAACGCTTCATGGACATCCCACTTTTTAATCTTGTATACAATGAAGTGTAAACTCTTACCAAATAGTTTTTTGCATTTGTAAACAGCTTCAGCACCAGAAAATTATTATTATTTTTTAATGAGCTAAACTTACTTTCTTGTAACTTTTGGAATTGGACAGAATTTATTTTCTCTTCCACAGGCCAGCCTTCAAGTATTTGAAGACAGATAAGTTCTGTGTCCAAGCCAGGCACCCCTCATCCTCCCATCTGTTTCTCCCCAGACTTTGTCCCCAGATCCTTCTCCATCTTGTTCCCCTCTGGGCATGCACTCATTGAACAACTTCTTTTTGCAAACTGTGACACCCTGAACTGATCATAATGGTCCAGATTTGTTCTGAACAGTACGGAGGCACTGTTTCTCCCTCGTTCTGCACATTGTACATCTGTTAATGCAGCCCACATTTGCACTTGCTTTGTTGGCAGCCACATCCCACTTTTGACTCATTCTGAAAGTACAGTTTGATGTACTCGCCTTTTTTTATGGGTTACAAGTTTCTACAGGGCAGGGGCTGTAAGTCCAGACCTCCATGTGGCATACAAGGTGCCCCCCCCCTTCTGACCTCTCTCCAGATTTGTTTCTTCCACTCCTATGCGAAAAGCATCACTCCAGCCAAGTGGTCAGTTCACTTGTCTTCCTCACTGCTGCTCCATCCCCAACCAGGCATCAGAATTAACTACAATTTTTTAAAAAATTTTATTTATTTGAGAGAGAGAGTGAGAGAGAGAGAGCACAAGAAGGGGGAGGGTCAGAGGGAGAAGCAGACTCCCTGCTGAGCAGGGAGCCCAATGCGGGACTCGGTCCCAGTACTCCAGGATCATGACTTGAGCTGAAGGCAGTCGCTTAACCAACTGAGCCACCCAGGCACCCTCAACTACAATTTTTTTCATAAAATTCAGATATAATTACATCTCTTCATGGCTTGCAAATATCTGACCCTTCATGTTGTGAAGGCCATACAAAGGTCTTCACAATGTGGTCCTCGCTCCCTTTCTACACCCCAGCCTCATCTTCCTTTTCTTTCTCTCTCCCCTGTCCAACCAAGAATAATTGGCCCTCCTCTGGGAACAGAGAGCACGTCTCCAGCATAGCACTCATCATGGCCCATTTCATGATACTTAGGAGTATGTGTTCCCTGCTAGATTCTCGATGCCTTTAGGGTGTGGTTAGAGTTTCGTTCATCTTTGTGTCTCAGCCTAGCATCAGGCCTGGCATGGAGTAGACTTCAGTGAATGGTGGTTGAATGAAGGGGTGCGTGGATGGTCAATGGATGGGTGTGTGTGCCCTGTTTCCCACCTAAACTCTAGTCTTTGAGGGCAGGGCTCAGGGCCGCGCCACAGCCTAACTGCATCCTGGGAGACTTGCAGTGAACTCCGGGTCACCCATGGCCCCTCTAGCCCAATCCCTGCCTGCTCTGTGCGTGCATCCTTGGGGAGCACAGGTGAAGATGTACATACATGTACTTGCGATTTTCAAGCTTGTCTCATGAGTCTTTCTTCTCTGTCTCTTCTCCCTCCCTCTCGTTCTCCAATGCCGCTCTCCTGGTGCCCGCCTCCCCAACACCTGCTGTCACCGGCCTCTCTGCAGTCAGCGTCTGCATCCCTGTGTGTGTGGAAGTACCCTCGGAGACAGAGGCCGTTCAGGGCAACCCCATGAAGCTGCGCTGCATTTCCTGCATGAAGAGGGAGGAGGTGGAGGCCACCACGGTGGTGGAGTGGTTCTACAGGCCCGAGGGCGGTAAAGATTTCCTTGTATGTCTGGCTGCTGACTCTGGCCTTTCTTTTGCTTGCCTCTGCTGTTATGTGCCTGGCTCCTGACAGTCTGGGGAACGAAAATCTGACAAACACTGGCTCTTTCTTTTCAAAGCACTGACAGCCCTGCAGCAGATGACTGACAGCCCAGCCCAGCTGCAAGCGTTCCTGGTTACAAGCAGGGGGAGGGGGAGAAGAGAGAAATAGCGCTCAGAGCCTACTGTGCGCTAGTCGCCCCATAAGGTGCTTCGCAGGTGTTTTTAATTCTCTGCACCATCGTAGTGGATGGATTGACTTAGTAGAAACGTTGAAATGACACTCAGCGTCATTATATGGAATAGCGTAGGTTAGCTCATTGAAATCTCATGATCCCAGTGAAATAAGAATGATAGGGATGACCAAGCTGCTTTTTTTTCTAATTTAAATTCAATTAGCCAACTTACAGTACATCGTTAGTTTCAGATGTAATGTTCAATAATTTATCAGTTGCGTTTAACACCCAGTGCTCATCACACCATGTGCCCTCCTTAATGCCCATCACCCAATTACCCCATACCCCCAGCCACCTCCTCCAAGCTGCTTTTCAACTGGTATACCCAGTACAGCTGCATCCGTGAGTAAAATATTTAAATAGTTCTTTTTTTTTTTAAAGATTTTATTTTATTTTTTTTTTAAAGATTTTATTTATTTATTCATGAGAGACAGAGCGAGAGAGAGAAGCAGAGGGAGAAGCAGGCTCCCAAGGAGCAGGGAGCCCGATGCGGGACTCGATCCCAGGACCCTGGGATCATGACC